CTTGCAGGTGGAAATGCACCGCTTAACACCGATTTAGAGCCCTTAGCATGGTCTTGAGAGGCTATTTGATGTGTCACATAGATAGCTAGAAGTAGATCTGAATGCTTTCTTGATGCTTAATAGTTTAATGTTGGTGGGGTGTGCTGACTTGTAGCAGGACAGAAAATGCCTTAAGATCAGGGTAAAGCCAGGACTGTGTATGGGGAGGTTTTGGGTGGTTGCTGTTTGCTTTGCTTTAACCTGGTTAGAGGAGACCATTACCTGTATTAATTAATGACAGGATGCAGTTTCACATGAACAAGCCACGCAGCAGCACAGCTCTTAATGGGAATTCTTGACGCAGCGTTTTGGGAGCAGTGCGAAGCAGAGTGGCCACAGGAAGGCTCTTATTTTTGATCACTTATTTTTGGTCACTGTTTAGACCGACCCTCGCCTGCTCTGCAGCATTCAGTGACTTTTCTGTAGCTGGAGAAATGGCAGTAAATGAGGTGACCATGTAACGAGCTCTGTGTGGGAACCTGCGGGGTGGGACCAGGGCCCTCTGTTCAAGCTGTGGCTGAACTTATGCAGACTGAACAGCACGTTGTACTGCTGCACTTTTAAACTCCAGAACATTTGTATGTGAATACAGACAAGTCCTGATAAGCAAAATATGCTTCTAAAGTATAAAATGCCATTTTTCTTCTCCCCATGTGAGCCCTTTCCCTGGTATCAGCAGTATTTTCTAGGCAACTGCAGATAAGCTGTAAGGCCGATGGGTATTGGCTGGTGTGCATCTGTGCTATAGAGGAAGCTGCACCTGGGGCGCAGCTTTAAAAAACAGTTCCAGTGGCCTAACCCATCCTTTCATTTTGTCAGCCTGTGCAGCCTTCAAATAAATCAAAGGACTTCAAAAGGCGCTGTCACTTGGTGCCACGGTAATCGCAGGGTGTGCCTGCTCAGACCTTCGTTTTCATCACCGATGGACTCTGACCTCTGCAGAGAGAGCAGGAGGATTAAATGTGCGGGCTGATAGATGTGCCCAGCCTGCCCTCCTCATCGGTGCTCGGCTTTCGTGACACACGCACATTTGTCACATCGGTCTCCTTTTGTCAGTGAGCGTTTGCCTTTCCCTGCAGGAGAACCGCGTGAGACCTCAACTGGAAAAATTAATGTCTTCTAACAAAGATGAGCCTACAATTAATCAGTCTTGTTCTCTCCTTTGACAAGAATTATTCTATCTAATGGCCCTCGCAGTTTTATAGCTACTTCCATAAAAGTATGATGCTCGTGTTTTTGTCTAGATGGTTTTCAGGACCACTCGCAGGTCTATGAGCGCTTGCTGTAAGTGGTGATGGCAGGGTTTTACCCGGGCTCTGTGCTCCGAGTGGTTTATGTGCTTATGTCACCCGCTAATGGCATTAGAGGAGGACGTGTCCCGTTCGGCTTGGCCGTTAATGGGATTATCTGCCGAGCCCTGCGGTGACGAGGAGCTGTGTTCGCTTTCACAGGTTTATGTCAGCTTTTGGGCTGAAAGGTTTAAGAAGTGCTTTGAATTACAGCTGGTGCTTCTGCAGCGAGGTGGATGGCTGCTGAAGACTGTCCATGATTTATGTAAATGTTTACGTAGCCGGTGTGCTGCAGCTACGTATGCAAAAGTGTTTGGAGACTCCGGATGAGCGGTTTCCCCGTTCAGGTGGAAGTTTCCCGAGCAATGCTATTCCAGCAACAAGTCAACTTGTCCCGGCTTTTTTCACTGCAGTATTGAGAGCAGCATTTCTTGTGCTCCTGTATTGTCTGTTTAAAAAGAGGTCAGTGTGTTCTCAAACAGGAGTTGTATGTCATGGATTGTGCTCAGACCAGAAATCTCTCTCTGCTGCCATGAAAAATTTTGTGAGTTCCCTCCAGACTGTGAGGATTTCACTCCAGAGCATATTTGGGTTGAGGAAAATCTCAGCAGGAGGGCTGCTGGGATTAAAGGGTATTATGGCTTGCTTTGCAAAGGCTTTCATGGTTGGGATCTTCATTTCTGTCCTGTTTGGGGCCCCATAACCCCAGCATTATTCTCTCCTTTTGTCTCAGGATTCCTAATAAAGCATTTTGCTCTGAGTTCCTCAGCGGGGACACTTGAGAGGCAGGGTGTGCAGTGACCCCATGCATGGCTTCAGGGACACTGCTTTGCTTTTTTGGGTTGAGAGGGAGAGGAAGGTCGCCAGTAGGGTCAAGCTCAGCTTCCCCATGTTTGTTGCCATGTTTATTTACTGATAAATGTATATCCTATAGAAATAATAAACTTTAAACTTTATTAGTTGCTTCTCAGGTTGTCAGCAGAGCATGGTGCTGGTTGTGAGTATTGGGGCCTCCAATAACACAGTAAAGTTATGTGATGATCCAGAGATACCTGCAGGATGAGGACTGCTGATAAGCAAAGCAGCTTGACTTCTGGTCTGCTAAATGTCTGGTAAGATAAGGACTTTTGGGTTTAGAGCAAATAGGAGGAGAGAATTGTTCACGCAACGTGAGGTTAAGTTGTGCGAGTCCTCACCAAAGGGTGCTGGGGATGCTAAAGGCCTGCCTGGACTTGAGAACAAACTGGGTAAGTTAATAGAGCAATTAATTCAGAATTATTAAGCATGTGGGTAGAATTCCTCTTGCCCAGGAGGTTTAAATCACTGATTGAAAGCTAGGAAAGTGTTTTTTCTGAGCATGCTGCTGTGTGTGTGTGTGTGTATCTCTGCTGGAAGGCATTCAGCACCACATGGATGTGCAGAGTGCGTGCAGACGCCTGACGTATCTGCTCAATGTTAGGCCCTTCAGCCGAGCACACACCAGATAGGAGCTGATAGGAGCAAGTGCTGCTTTTGATCCTGGCCAGGGGCTGGAGATGGGAAACTGCCTTATCTTCTGAGACCTGGAGCGGGGAGGAATTCCTGGCAGGCTGAGCTTTGGAAATACAGGTGCTCTGTGTTCAGAGAAATGGGCGGTATTGGCCTTCTGATGTTGGCTTTTGTTCCAAAAAACCAGATCTGGCTGAGGTTCCAAGCTTGGGTTACACTGCAGGAGCACAACAACACAGGCGTGTTTCAGCACTTTCTGCCCTTCGAGCCCGCTGAGATTCAGCTGCCTGGGAGAGTAATTTAACTGGTGTGAGTTTGTAGCTGGACTGGGTTTACTGGAGCTGCACTTCCCGTGCTGATGGAGCCGTGGAAGCTGCATTTCCCGAGAGCTGCTGTCTGCGCTGGGCAGGGGTGGGGAATGTGGTTTAGCAATCTGAAATCTTGTGGTCAGCGCTGTCTTGAGGCTCTTCAGCAGCAGGGGCCTGCAGGATGAGCACAGCTCACGAGTCCCGAGGAATGTCTGCAGATGGATAAACATGGAGACAAGGGAAACCTTGGGGAGAAGTAAATCAAAGACTTCACTTTGGAAGGTGTAGGCTCACCAACATGATTTATCACCAAACTGATTTCATTTAAGTGGGGTGTTTTGCTGTTGCTGTCACTTGTGAAGTGGATTATTTCGTTATTATTTTATTTTTATTTATTTCCCAAACGCCATTTTTAGCTTGAGGAGACAGACTTGACTCTGGCGAGGACATAACTTGAGATGACCCAGTTGCTTCGCTGCTTTGGAGTGGCTTTGTCACACGGACATGAATTGCAGGGAAGTTTTGGGAGGTCCCACTGAGAAACACGGTGTTGCTGCGAGGCAAAGGGCTGCTGCTCACAGCGAGTGCTGTGGAATGGTTTGGACGCTGCTGGGAAAGGCTGAATTTGTGAGGATATGAATGAGTAATTTTTTTTAAAAATCTCTTTTGAGAGCAGACCCATTTAGGAGGTTATTTGCAGCCTGTTGTGTGTGTGTATGTGGTTTTATGGCTACGCACCGTGTTTCTGTTCTGCAAAGCAGTGCAATGCTGGTCCTGCTGACCTACTCCTCTAAATACGGCACTCAGGAGATCTCCATTTACATTTAAAACTTGTGAGCGTCTCCATCTCCCCCGCTGTTAATCATTACGCTGTCTATTGAATGTTTTGACAGCCTCTGTGACTCCTCTCCTTTAACGTGCTGGGAGACAGCCTGGCAGCAGCAGTAAGCTGAAACCAGCTCCTATTCAGAATGGGCTTCATCGCTGGAAAAAGAGAGATGATTTTTTTTTAAGGTGGAGGCATGTGTGTTTTCTAATTTAAAACCGGTTCCATTTCTGTCAAAATAGGCTCATGCATTCCATCTGCTCTGCAGTCGTAACCGAAGTCTGATCGTCTGCTTTCGGCTTTGTAGCGTGGTGGAATGGGGGAAAAAATGACTCCTGGGAGTATTTCAGTCCTTGGGTGTTATTAGTGGCGATCAGTGTGACCTTCGTTAATGTCGGAGGACAGTTAATGTGACCGCCGTGTTTGTTATTTTAAAGCGAGTGTTTGCATGTCTGCAGAACATAATAACACCGTAGTAAAGTTTCCTGCGTGCTTGTCTCCTTAGTTAACGTTCAATCTGAACCGCGTTACTCAGGGCACGAGCACGCGGGGAATGTATTAATAGCCACTGCTTTCTATCGCTCGGCTATCAAGTACGGGGCTATCAGAAAATAGATCTGGGCTGATGGGGCTGTCTGCGTCTTGTTTACAAGATATTTCGGATCTGGGCAATATTTACTTGCGGGTCTGAGTCACTCGGGCAGTCTGCAGCGCAGACAGCAGAGCTGCGGGAGGGTTTTTTTGGGATTGCTGGGGGGAACGAGGCTGAGCAAAGGCTTGGGCTGCTGCTGGGCAGCCTCCGGCTGGGGCTCGCCCCTGTTTTTTGGGGAGTTATGAAGTCTGCAGATGATCCTGAAGATGGGAGGAATATAACTGGGGATCCGAGCTAAGCGAAGGATGGGGCAAGATGAGTTCAGGGTGGTGGCGAGAAGCCGTTTCTCGAAGCAGCCCGTCTGAAGTCCGCCCTGGCGCTTGCTGAGCTGCGGCGATCGGGACCTTGATGAGAGCTGAAGCCGTCGCTCCTGGCAGCGAGGGGCCAGGGGTGCTAGGATGACGCGGTGGTTCGCGTGTGCAGCCAGAGACACCGTAGGTACCTTGGGTCCTGCATTGATGGCAGCAGTTTACAACTGCAGAGATGCAAGAGCTTGAGTTTTGTGAAGGTTTTGTAACTTTTCCTTTTGAATTAATGAGTGTTACAGCTGTGTTTGACAACCCCTCCCACGAGGAATTTGCCTTAAATGGGTGACAGTATTTGATTTAGTGCATGATATGTAATGGGTACAATTTACCTAAGTGTTACAACCAAAGGGAAAAGAAATACTAAGATGATTTATTTTAATAATGCTCTTGTTAATCAGAAGACTTAGGGAATTGGAGCAAGGAATGGCTGGTGAAGGATTTTCTATAGTTTGTGCTAGTGGGTATAAGCTGCAGCTATGAAGCTCAGCAAACAGTAGCAAGATGTGATTGCTTCTCCTTAAGGATGTGAAATGTGGCTTATGGAAAAGAATTGAGAAGTCAGAGCTTTTCTGTACGGTTTCTAAGGTAATTAAAATTAAAACCTAACAAAACTTGCATGATAAGGTAGCTTAGCAGAGGCTGCTGTGCTGTCTGTCCCCAGCGATGCGTGCGGCTCTGGCTGTGACAGCAGTGTCACCAATGCCACGAGTGCATTACACCAACCGGGCTGGCCTGGCTCTTAGGCTAATGAATGTTTAATTGATTGGCAGTTGGTACAGCACTTTGGCAAGGAGATGCTGGGGAGTGTAACTTCAATAGTTGTCTGTTTTTATGACTTCGTGTCCCTTTTAGCAAGTATTGTACTGAATAAGCTATTGCTGAGCCTTCATGATTATGGTAATCTGCTTTATATCCTGAGAGTGGGAATAAGGATAATAATGATTACAGCTCCTTTATACCAATCCCTCTACAGGTACTGGTGGGGGCAGTGGGTTTTTGGGTTATCCTGGCTGATGAAGAGGGGCCAGAAGGAGATGTCTGAAGAGAATTTCATATGAGAAACTGGCCAAAAACTTTGAGGAGGAAGACAGGGAACTACTGTGTGTGGCTTTAGTTTTAGTCGTCTTAGATAAAGCAGGATGAGGAAAACCAAGGAGATTTGATCCTTGAGGTCTCCTTTAGAACTGAAGTGACTTAACCAGGCTGTCTCAGCATATTGTACACTCAATGGGAACAGCCCGATGGAAATGCTGCAGTGATGTTATACATGAATAACTCTATAAACACCTTAACAGGTACAGCTCCATTTGCAAACTGCGAGATTTTTGCTGTGTCTCCCCAGTTGCATCTAACTCAGCGTTTTATTGAAGCTCCTTTAGTAGATGAACCATTAGGGTACCATAAGCTCACTTGCTTTTCTGATTCCCTTACGCAGCTGAACACAGACTGGAACAAATACGATGACAGGTTAATGAAGGCAGCTGAAAGGGGCGACGTGGAAAAGGTGTCATCAATCCTCGCCAAGAAAGGAGTCAGTCCCACTAAACTGGATGTGGAAGGGAGATCTGCGTAAGTCACTTCCAGTACTCCGTTATTTAATTCCTAAATCTTGCTGCTGCTCTAAAACCTCTTTTTTAATGCATAAATTGATGTAATACACCTTGCTAGATTCCAGCCTTGTCTAAGCTGGAATACCAAATAGCTAGATTGTCAAATTTTAATCAACAATCTTCACTTCCAAGTGTAGATCAGTATTTAAATACTTGATCTTGCCCGATTTGAATGTTAAAGAGAAGTGGAAATCCTGTTGGTTTTTCACCTAGCTCACTGATTCAAGGTAAATAAAGACTACTCCAAAAAGTCATCTTGTTCCTTCAGGTAAAATGCACAAAGCTCTTGGCTGGCTTTGCCCTCTCTCCAGAGCTGAATTTGTGCTGTATAATGCTTGCACTAAGCTGCTGTTTGCTTTGACTTTCCTGGTTACTAGTACCTTTTTCGTGTATAAACCCGCTTGTGCTTAAGCAAGGTGTTTTCTGTCTTTAGATTCCATGTTGTAGCGTCGAAGGGAAACCTGGATTGCTTGAACACCATCCTTGTCCACGGGGCTGATATCACGGCCACCGATGCTGCAGGTGGGCGTCCTCACACCTCCGGGTGCAACTTGCACAAGTTCGCAGCTTGGTTTTTGTTTGGGAGTGGGATTAAGCTGAACTGTGTGGGGTTTCTAAATGCACCTTGAAAATAGATCCTGGATTGATGCTGATTTCTCTTTTCAGGTAGAAACGCGTTGCACCTAGCTGCAAAATATGGACACGCTTTGTGCTTGCAGAAGCTGTTGCAGGTACTGCATTTTTTAACAATTCCATTATTTAAAGAAAAAAGTCACGGGGAAAAGACCTTTTCATATGGAATAACAGGGTGTGGGTGAAAGTGTGAAGCATCTTTTCATCTCTTCACAGAGACAATCAGATCAAGTTGTAGTTTCTACCTCTTGAAGAAAATAGAGTTGAGTGTTTTCTAAAGACCAGTGCTCCTTTTTTGAATAAGCTTGAACAGTAACAGTGAAAAGTCTGCTCAAGAGTGGTGTATTTTTCCAAAGAGGGACAATTATGTCCAATAATATCAGTGATATTTATTTTTTCTTCATTTATTCATGTCCAGTTTATGGTCATTTGAACCTTATTGAAATGTAATGGATTTTTTTCACCTTCTGTTTACTTGATGCTTGTCTGCATGCAGATACAAACAGCACATTTTCCAGAACCAGTAACGTCACTGGTAGTGAAGGGGTCATGCCAAGTAGTGGAGAATCTGAGCTGGACTGAGCACTTGAAAGTGTCTGTGAGAGTGCAGCCATCAGTTGTGTGTTTTCTTTGTGCGGCCTTAATTCACCTCTGCAGCTTTTAATCAAATGTGTTTAAAGTGCGTGTACCCATGGCTCGCTCTTTCACGTGTGTCAGTATGCTTGTACAAATGGATGTTTTTTTCTTAAATCAAACTTTGTTGCTTTAATTCAAACCTCAGGTTTGTGTTTTGTAAGTGTAGTCTGAGTCTTAATTGATAACCAGGGTTATTTATTTTAACAGTACAACTGTCCAACGGAGAATGTGGATCTTCAAGGAAGAACTGCTCTTCATGATGCAGGTAAAGGGGGTTTGCTTTTCTGGGGAACAAAGTGTTTTATGTTGTCCTGATGTTTGTTCTCAGCCACAAACCCATTAGCAGAGGCTGTAGGTCTTGTAGTCCCTTCTGATACCCATGGACTGTCCAGTAAAACCTGTAAGCAGGGATCAGGGGCAGTGTGTTAGAGCAGTGGTGTTAGTAGTTAGGACATCTTTACTCCAGGTTGTCTGGATCCTCATTGTGCTGTGCAGAGTCTTGAGCAGCAGTGTTGGATTTCTTTCACGTGCTTTTGAGATGGTTGGGTCAGAACTAAGGCGTAGAGCCCTGTCGTGCTTTGAGTTGCATGAATTTTTGTGAAGCAAACACACCCAAGGAGGTGCGTGGGGGTTCTCGAAGGCTGTTTCCAGCAGCGTAACCTGCTCTTTCTTTCTCTTCAAAGCTATGTCAGACTGTTCCTCTAGCATACAACTGCTGTGTGATCATGGGGCATCAGTGAATTCTAAAGATGGGGTAAGTTGCTGCTTACAGCTCTTTCCTGTACCAGCCCTAGTGGAGTCCTTGTGTTTTCTCTGCTTTCTCGCCCTTTCCTTATTTCTTTCCCCTTCCTCTCCTCAGGACGGGAGGACACCGCTAGTGCTGGCCACTCAGATGTGTCGTCCCACGCTCTGTCAGCTTCTGATAGACAGAGGAGCGGATGTTAATGCCAGGGACAAACAGAACAGGTAACGCATGCAGAGCGGTGGCAGTGCTGACATTCAGAGGGTAGAGAGCTGTCCCTTGGCCTTCAGGCTACAGAGTAAAGATGCTAAATTCAGTGGAAAAGAAGCTGGGATTTAGATCAGAAGCAATGTGCCAATTCAGTAGTGCCGATAATTGTGGCTCTTCCTTATTGCTTATTCTTGCGTCTAAGATACACCCAGGCTTGTTTCTATCAGCAGAGAAACTACGGTTGGTTGCTTTAAGGCTTTTCCTCTCCAAAGCTGCAGCTTACGCTTTGGGATCAATATGCAAAATGGATCGTGACTGAAGTGGTCCTCTCAAGAAGCGCTTGAGGCCCATTGGAGCTCTGAAGGGACCTAATGGCCTCGAGATGTTTGCCCCTACATTCATGGAAGGGAGCCCGGGGAGGGGTTTTCCACTCGTAGCTGCTACTTGAGCCAGTTATTTCTTGGAGGGCCCCTCCCTGGTGGCCGATGGCCATGAGGCCGCTGTGGGACGCAGCGTGGGTACTTGCACTGCGTGCTCTGAAGCTGGCGAGTGTCTGGGAGGCGTTGCCAGGACTCTCAAGCACTCGTCCCCCTGAACTTTGTCTAAACTCCTTGTCTTGTGTTTGTTGTGTCTGTTGAGATTGGTATCTAAACAGAGAGGAGGCCAAAACCCACATAAGCTTTCAAAACGCTGGGTGGCTCTCTCAAAGGCACTGGGTTTCATGGAAACACTGCAATTAGAGTGTTTTTATTTGCTTTTTAACCAGTATTTATACATTGACTAAATGACTTTTTAAAGCTTAGTTTCCTCTCTTGACAGAGGAAAGTTTCCTTGACCTAAGAGTTTGAAGGATTATTTCTGTGAGTGATTGCTCATTAAAGCACGACAGCCCCAGTCTCTGATCGCGATCTTTCTCCCCACCCTCAGGACTGCCCTCATGTTGGGCTGCGAGTACGGCTGCAAGGACGCAGTAGAAGTTTTGCTCAGGAATGGCGCGGATGTTAGTTTGGCTGATGGCCTCGGCCATGACTGTGCTTACTATGCCAGGATTGGTGACAACATTGACATTCTGGCTTTGATAAAAGCTGCCGTTGAGGATTCCAGCAAAGGTATGAAGAACGTGGCTGTAACAGCAGTTTGCTGCTGCTCTGTCATTTGAGTTGTGTCTTCCAGCTGCTCGGACTTCGGGAGCAGTTTTTGGAAGGGCAGCTGTAGCTTTTTGAACAAAAAGGTGATGAAAACTGCCTGTTTGGGTAGAGAAAGAAGGCTTTGGGGGTTTGGTTGCAGTAAAGCTTTTATGGTTGATGCTTTGAGGTGTCCTGAACCTGGGGCAGCTGTAGCTTTTTGAACAAAAAGGTGATAAAAACTGCCTGTTTGGGTGGAGAAAGAAGGCTTTGGGGGTTTGGTTGCACTAAAGCTTTTATGGTTGATGCCTTGAGGTGTCCTGAACCTGACATGCAGTATTGATCATGGGAGTTATTTAACCTCATTTATAGGAAAACCTCATACTTATGAGTGTTTCCATATTTGATTAAGTGGGGGGTAGTGAATATTCCTTGAAACGTCCTCCCCTGATGGAAATATCTGTGATTCTGTGAAACCTGATAGAGCAAGCTGAATGTGTGCATGAGTCTGAATGAAATGCATTCTTTAACTTCTTGGTTTTGTGGTGCTTTTTTAGCAAGAGACACCATGAAGAAAGGGCAGCCTGAACAAAAGGTAAGGCTGCTTATCCCGAGTGACTCCTAAGGTTGGTTTCTATGAGAGGGCACACAGCATTAGCGAAGTTTCATTGTTTTGTAGCATGATGCCTTTCAGTTCTCATGATACAGGGCCCATAGGGGACACTTTGTTTTAAAAATGGATGGGCAATGGGGAATAAAACTGAGTTGTTTTTAACTGACCTACCAAGGGTTTCCACTTCTTAAATTCAAATATTCAGTATGGATTACAGGGGTGTGGGGTAAATCTTTGTCTTTGCCATGGAGTGAATAGCCTTGGTAGCTGGCCTATAATGGCAATTCATGAGTAAAATTACCTTCCATAAGCTACTGATGAATGTGGAGCACTTTCTTTATCCAGCATCAGTGCCTCATTTGACAGAGGACAATGTAATAATCATGAAATATTTCAGGATTTTGTCGTTTCAAGATTCCCAGTCCTAACTGAATGCCGGGTGCTGCTCAGCAGGGCTCTTACTGAGGATTTATGCCACACGTGTATGCTGCAGGTCAAACAGCTTCGTGCACTCTTGTGTGCTGGCTTCTCGCCACATCTTCCTGCTGAAATACTGCTCTTTGGCTCAGATAGGATTGCAGGGTCTCTTAAATCTGTTCAGGGAGGCTTTGGAGAGACTCCTGGTACAAGATTAATATCGTAGTTGTATGAAACTGAGAGAGGTAAAATTTAAGCTGCTTACCCCTGACCACCTAGACATAGTGTATGTATTGAGAGAGTGATTACGATTGTGCTGTGATGCAAAATCAGTTCAGTATGTTTTGAATTCTGAGAAGACTCCCGCTGTAATCAGATGGTGTGTCCATTTCTATTTGAAAAATCTTCCGTGATGTGCATATTCAGGATTAGGGTTTTGACAAGCGTCCCATGTGCTGTCTGGGTGAGGTCATGGTGAGCAGCGGGCTGTCCAAATGTGAGTGGTGTCCCACTGGAAGCTGGGATGGAGCCAGAGGAGCCCACTGTCCCCAGAAATGAACACAACGACGACAAATTATAAGTATATATATCTAAAAATTAATATTTCCTGTTGCAATACCAGATTCCTAATCTGTCGCTGAAGTGGAATCGGCTGCACGCACAGGAGGAGGTGAATGCCAAGCTGTATCAGAAGGAGCACAGCGCTCAGGTAAGTGAGGAGGGTTTCTGTGACTCGTGTAATTCCCACGTGTGTAATGAGCCAGACGAACTAAGACAAGATGTGCTCGTGAAGGACGCATCAGCGGTTCCGTTCAGAAAGGTCCTACACGTTGCTGTGTACTTAAAGCTTAATTGCATGACTGTGTAATGTGGCAGTTATGCAGATAAGCTGTAAGCTTTTTCAGGGGAAAAAAAGACTTGTTTGCATAATAAATAATTGCAGGTCTCTTCTTGTCTTAACTTCTCCTGCCTCTTAACCTTCTACTGCTTTTACCTGCAGTAAAACCATAGTCACAGACCAGGAAGATTTGTATTTTTAACCTTCTCAAGAGATGTGTGCTTCAGTGCCTTACTGAAAAGAACCTGTATCGTCATTGTTCTACTAACCAGTATTAATTTTCTCATCTCATTACTATGTCATTGCAGTTCTCAGAAAGGTAAACAGCGTTTTAAGCTATGGGGAGCAAACCACTGAGAAATTGAGGCCTGCTTTCTGAAATGCTTTGTAATAAAAGGATAAAGACCTCTAAATGCAACCTCTCTGGTTTGAGCTAAAGTAGTTACCACAGTTAAGGCGACGATTACCAGGCAAGAGTTAAAGAGGCTTTGTTGTTTGCATGTGAGCACCGGGCAAACACCCATCACTTGTGTATGTTGGACTTGGTGTACGTCACTAGGGGCATCCTTGTGGCTGTGGGAACAGTTGGCACATGTAAAGCTTGTGGTGCTTCATGGCGCTGAGGCTTTTCCATTGCACCTTTGGCTGCAGAGGTTGGGTTCATGAACTGGTTTAACATCAGTTATATTTACTTGTTAACAGACAGCAGATAAGCAGCCTCTTGAGCGCTGTCAGTGTTGAATGTAATCTTGCTCTGCTCGTACTCTCAAAACCTCTATGTGCACTGTCACGAGAATGAGCTATCTGGAGCCAAAAAGCTTGAAGATTCTGGAGCTTGTGTAAACCTTCAGGATGAAGCAGAGCTGGAGTAAGGCCACAAAATCATTAGGGGACTTGTTAGGCAAGGCTTGGTATCTTTAATGACTGTTAAGTGTTGGCTCAGATTCTTTAGTTTTCCCCAGTGTGCGTAGCGTGGTGGTGGCTTTTTAGAATTATTTTCTTCTTACTCTTTAAGGAATTGGAATTAGAAAATCAAGATTTGAAGGATCGGATGAGGGAAGTGCAAGAGGAGCAGAGGATGCTGCTGGGCAGAATCAGCGGGCTGCAGCTGCAGTTGAATGAGGTAAAGCTGGTGCTGGAGTAACTGGGCTCGAGAGCTGCAGTAACTACGTGGCGCTGATGGTGAAGGCTGGTGGAAGGAGAAAGGAAAGTGTGATTAGGATGTGGTCTTCACTGCTTTCCTGTGGGTTATTTCTGCGTGTGTCACTGTCACTTGCTGCTGCTGCAAAAGCCTTTGGTCTTGTTATAATATTCAGAGAGGACCTGTTGCAGTGCCATTCACTGATACTCATAAATTTGAGCAATACCGTTTGTGGCCGCACTTGGCAATGTAAGGTGAGCCATGAGGTGTTCTGGCATGTTGTCACTTGGGGAGTAAACTTCATCCGTGCAGTTAAATGCAGGTGGTGTGTGTCAGTCCTGTATCATAGCCACCGCTTATTTCCCAGCTCTTACCAGAAGTGGAAACAGAGAAAAATCTTCAATTGGCGAAACCAGAAACCAAGGTTTTCGGTGGGGAATTTCTCATCCAAATTTGACATCGTGTTTTGAAAAAGTTCCTCTTCAAGTGCAATTGAGGAAGAAAATATTTGTTCTTTCATTGCTTCTGTAGAGGTACATTTGAAAAATGTGTGTGGCTTCTCCCTGAGTGTAGCACATGGATAGCAAGAATGTTTCTTCTCAAAATCATTGGCTTGTCTGAATTCTTTCTTAAGCACTGCCTTTATAAAACAAACAAAACCCACAGACTCTTCAATACTCACTTTGCAGAATCAGCAGACTTCTACTAAAAAAGGGTCCTCTTCTGCCTCAGTAGTGTATGACCTAGCAAATTGGAAAGAGAACCCGTCTTCCTCGGATGTGTGTCAAGAGTCACTGCGCTCTCACACATCCTTAGCTCTGCTTGTCTTTATTTCTCTTGCCAGAGGTGAGGTGGTGAATGGGAGGGGAACATCAGAGCGTGTGGCATTGGGAACTGGGGTAGACTTGGCAGCTGATGAGCTGTGTGAGGCCTTCAGCATTACTGGGAAAAATGATTTATGGCGGATTTTCTTTTGTTGTTTTTGCAGGAGCAGATGTTCTCAGATGATCTTGAAAATGAGGTATGGTATTTTACCTTGAAGTGTAGCTATGAAATAGGGGAAGTGGTATTTAAAACTATAGCAAAAAGAAAAGCTATCTATAATAATAATAATATATAATGTGTATATATACTGATATGTACTCTGCTCATACAGAGCTGCACAGCATTTCTATTGCTACAAATAACATGTAACCCCTATGGCACCTTTAAAACAGACTTAAAATAAGTATCTCTTTAGTGACTTTCAATAATGTAAGACTAATACACGTGAGTAAATGAAACAATAGCAAATTACGTTGGTGCCTACTCCCTTGACTCATTGTTTGAGGCTCCTCTTGTAGAGAAGCGGTGTTGTAGAAGAATTCAGAATCAAAAATTCAGGGCTGCTTTTGGTGCTGATCTTGGTTGAAGTTCTCCCTGAACTTTTTCAGAAGTTGCTCGAGATCTTACAAGTGTGGCTGTTCTTGTGGCTTTGGCTGTCTGCAGCTCTTTCTCTTTCAGAAAGATGAGTTGAAGAAAATCCTAACTACCAAGGAAAAACAGCAGGAGGAAAGCCTAAGAACTATTGAAGCTCTCAAAGCCAAACTCAAATATTATGAAGTACGTTACTTGATTTGAAATGGAATATAGCAGTTGATATTTACAGTAGTTAATACTTGAGCAGTTTTAAATTGCTGAAAGTCTTAAACCGTTATCTCATTGTAAAAGCTTTCCTTGCCCTTTAATCCCTGGGTTAACATATAGTCAAAATTTGAAGTGAATTTTCAGCTGTATTTTTTTCTTGCTGTTTGCTTTTAGGTGGACTTTGTGGGATCTGGAAGTAACCTTGGTAGCAGTAAGTGTATTTAATTCTTAACTTGCCATGCGTGATGCGGTGTTAGAATCATGTGCATAGTGTGTGTCCACACATCAAACCTCAGAACACGGTGAGCTGGCCCTGGGTGTGTTTGTCCCCCAGTGCTAGGGCTCTGTTGACCAATCTTGATTATGAGTGAGTGATCTTGTGAAATGTCCATTGTAACTCTGCTGCGCCTTCTGATATAATGAATAACGAGCTGAGCAACATTTGGGCTCCAAGTGGAGTCCTCCCCTTCCCATTTTTGTATCTGAACCAACACTCAGGCCTAGCTCATGGCAGGGAAACTGTGGTCATCATGAGAGCTTGAGTGCAGGCAGGTTTGGAAGCGGCTTTGAATATAAGCTCAGCTCACGTTTCTGTTGGAAATTACTCAGTTTCCAGAAACTGAAGTAATTTTTGCATCCAAATTGATTACAGGCCTGGCTTGCACTTGTGTAACATCAAATGTGGCTTCATGAGCCGTGGCAGGAGCAGTTTGCCTGTCAGGATGGGTCACTTCTCTAGTGTGCAAGGCAATGCTGTTCCCTGGTGTGTGTGTGCAGACGTGCAGCTAGCTCAGGGGGCCTTTCAGGGCTGTTCTGCACAGCCTGGCCTGGTATAGGCATCATAGGGGTATTTTTTTCCATAGTAGGAGTTTGTCCAGACTTCCTATGTGACTTAATTAGGGTGGTGGTGTTTCCATACCAATACTTAAAAAAACCCCAACCTGTAGTCCAGTGCAGTCCCATTGAACACAGTAAAGTTGGGAAGGAAAATCCTCGTTCTTGTGATTGTGTTACTGTTTTTAAACAGAGACTGAATGCTGTTTGCTTTGTCAATCTAGGAAAAGAAGATTTATTACTTAAACAAGGCCAAGTGTTTGCTGTGGAATCGCAGGTAATGAACATTTTGCCAGTTGAGGGAATTTTAAGATAATTATGCTTGGGAGGGCTAAGTACACTTACGAACGGGCATGGATTAAACATTGCTCCATTTTCAGTGGTACTTGCTTTGCAGCGTTCATTTTTAACTGCTGGTGCCCTCTAGAGCTACGAATGTGACACAGCTTTAAATGCTGTGAAATCAGCTGCTGAGCTGTGCTGAGCATTCCTAAATCCGAATTTCAGACTACTGGATCAGCAGTCGGTGTGAAGTGCAATGGGTTTTTCATCTCCATAACTTTATTCTGCTTTAAATTCAGCTAAAATTCAGGAAACTTTCTTTTCCTGCCAGCTATACAGTAATTTCCTGACAATTTTGTTTGATAGCTGCCTTTTAACACCACAATTCTGTTAGAAACAAGGTCCATCAGACCCTTATGGTGAGTCATGTATGGTAAGGGTTGGTCATAACTCACAAACCATTCCTATGCTTGAGTATTTCAGCTGTAAATGCTTCCAGGAGTGGTGGCCAGAAATAAATCTGTGCATCCTGTGCTTTCTTGCCAGATTTCGCTGATAATGCAGAAGAATAGAGGTTTTTCACCTATGTTTTACATAAGGTTATCCAAATGGTCTGAGGATTTTATAGTTGAAGTTTAAAATGAGTTGATGTGCTATTCTTAAGAAAGATTGTGGGGTGGCACCAACAGCCAACTAACCAAAAATCCAACCCGCATCCCAAGCAGGAATTAAGTGGCTTTGAGCTTGTCATGTCTGGAAGCTCTGTCCTGCTCTCTGGTCCTTGGAGCATGAAAGAGATCATTGGAGCTAAGCCTGTGCCGTGTAGCAGCCGCAGGGCTGGTGGTGAGGTGAGGGTTGGTAGTGAAGACCTCATGGCAGGAGGGTGAAACTCTTTCTGATATATCCTGTACTGGACAGTAAATTAAATGACCGTTTTCCTCAGTCTGTTCAGAGAGAAGGTCCTGTTAACCCTGACATACTCTGTTCCGATTCCTTTTCAAGTTATTTTCATATGCTTGAGGGATGGGGGAATTCTCTTAATCATTTCTCTGCTAGGAGAAGTTTAATTTATGAAGTGCGAATAACAAGGGAAATGAAATGAATGCAGTATACCTGCACTTTGATGTCGGTAGGGTCTGAGGATTGGCAAGCAGCAGTGCAAAGCTGTTTTCAAGATTTCGACTGTTAAAAGCTGAACTACGTGTATTCTGTTATACAGGCAAGAATATATTGATGTTTCTCAGAAACAAAGTAAATCTCCCAGACAGGTTTTCTGCTGATATCAGCACAGGTTTGAGACAGCTCTGTGTATGACTTGTCCAACTTGTGAACTTATATCCATTTTGTGCCCGTCACCTTCAGTCCAGGTCAATGCTGAGACCCCTGGAGCTCTCCCTGCCCAACCAATCCTCCGGCTCGGAGAAGGAGACTTTAAAGAAGGAACTGGACAATGTGAGGACCTGCTATGGTGCAGCGAAAGAGGAAATCAGCAGGTTGCAGAGAGAGCTGTCTCACAAGGCGTCTGAGTGCAAAGCTTTGGCGTCGGAGTGCGAAAGAACCAAGGCAGAGTCTGACGGACAGATCAAACAACTGGAAGATGCTTTAAAGGACGTACAGAAGAGAATGTTCGACTCCGAAGGCAAAGTGAAGCAGATGCAGACCCACTTTCTTGCTCTGAAAGAGCACCTGACTAATGAAGTCGCCTCGGGAAGCAGTAAACTGACGGAGGAGCTGAAGGATCAGTTGAAAGAAATGAAGACAAAGTATGAAGGAGCCTCTGCTGAAGTGGGCAAGCTGAGGAACCAGATTAAGCAGAACGAGTTGCTGGTGGCAGAGTTTAAGAGGGATGAAGGAAGGCTGGTGGAGGAAAACAAAAGGTTGCAGAAGGACCTGGTTAAGTTGGAGATGGAGCGAGATAAAAGGGGCAGAAGCGTGGTGGAGCTGGAAGGGCAGCTCAAGGAAACGGCGGCCAAGTTAGCCCACTCGGTAACGTCGGAGAAATTCGAAAACATGAAGAGTTTGTTATCAAACGAGGTGAACGAGAAAGCAAGGAAGCTGGCAGAAATGGAGGGAGAGCACAAAAAACTACAGGCAGAGATTTTGCTTTTGAAGAGGGAGTCCGAGGGTCAGAAAGCTCAGCTCGCTCAGCACGTCAAGCCGGAAGAACACGAGCAAATGAGGAGTGGGTTTGAGCAGAAGAACGAGGAGCTGGGGAGGGCGATTTCTGAGTTATCGGAGGAGAATCAGGCTCTGCAGAAGGAACTTGAAAGATTGCAGGCCGATAACAAGATGCTGAAGCAGCAAAACCAACTGCTAAAAACTGAAATTAAAAGCCAGAACGTGCCTTTAAAAATCCACGAGGAACTGAAGAAAACAAATGACCTGACTGTTGGCGACCTGACCAAAAAGCTTTTTGAAATAACGAAGAAGCACAATGAAAGCAAAGCCGCAGCCGAAAAGCTGCTGGCAGAGAAGAACAATTTAAGTGAGAAGATCAGCCACTTGCAAGCTGTGTACCTGTCTCCAGAGCAGCACAAAAAAGAGGTGGAAGCTTTAAAATCTAATGGCATTGAACTTGAAAAGCGGCTTGCGGAGCTGCGGAAAAAATGCGACGATGAGCAAGCAAAGGTGTGCGAGCTCGTCTCTGAAAACATGGTAATGAGAGATGCTCTGAGGGATCAGTATGTGCCGGCTGCAACACACGAAGAGATTAAAACAGTCTTGAATAGCGCGCTGGAAAAAGCTAACAGGGAGCTGTCAGATCTGAAAGAGAAAACAGAAGAGATAAAGCGAGAATCCACGAGGATAAATGAAGAAAACGGAACTTTGAAGGATAAAGTGAAACTTTTAGAGAATCAATTACAAACTGAGTACATGAGTCTGAAAGCTCATGAAACTACGGTGGCTCATTTGAACCAAAGCATGCAGGAGCTTCAGGAGAGCAACGTTGCAATTGTGGCTGAGTACAGGAGGGGTCAAGAAGAAATTCTACAGCTGCACGCGGAAATCGAAGCCCAAAAGAAGGAGCTTGACACAATCCAAGAATGCATTAAGTCAAAATATGCCCCAGTTGCCTCCTTTGAAGACAGAGAGCAAAGCTTTGAAGCCACAGTGAAGGAACTAAAGGCGCAGTTGCAGGAACAGATGCAGAAGTGCAGGGAAAGCGAGGAGGAAAACGAGAAGTGCAAGCAGGAGAATGAACAGCTCAGGAGTGGCCTTTTGTCCATCCAGAGTGACTTGCAGCAGAACTACGTCCTTGCTGAGAAATCCCGGGAGATGGAGAAAATGTTCGCTGGCAGAATGCGGGAGTTGAATGAGCAGCTGAGAGAGGTGCTGCGGAAATACGCGGGCGAAAAGGAAGAGCAAGGTGAGCTGCAGGGTGAGCATCCCGAAAGCGCGCAGGCTCAGCACCTCTCAGCGGAGCAGATTGAAGCCCTGAAGGGGGCTCTTGGCCGCACTCTGGAGGATCTGAAGGAAGCCCTGCGAAATCAGGAGGAAAGTTACAGCAGAGAGACACTGAAAGTGGGAGAACTGCAGCGGGAGCTGTCGGAGCTGAGGGAATCCTCAGTGCCTTTGGTAGAACATGCGCAGATGAAGGAGGCGCTGGAACGAGAAATTGCAGCCGTCACAACCAGCTTGAAGGAAAAGGAAGAGGAAAACCAAGTGAAAAGCGAGGAGATCTCGCGGTTGCGGTCTGAGATTCGGATCGCCCAGCAAGCTTTCACGGAGCTGGAGAGCAAAGAAGTGATCGGCCTCGCAGAATACGAGGCCATGAGAAGTGCTCTGGAGGCCCAGATTAACAGCATAGCTGCGGATCTGTCCACCGTGAAGAGGAAGTACGAGGAAGCGTGCGAGGAGGCTTTGCAAGCTAAGAAGAGCGAGCTTTCCTTAAAGGATGAAAAGGAGCTGCTTCAGTTACGGAGCTGCAGCATTGAGCAGGAAATCAAAGACCAGAAAGAGCGGTGTGAGAAATCGCTGACGACGATTATTGAGCTGCAGAAGAGAATCCAGGAGTCTGCAAAGCAGGTGGAGGCCAAGGATAACAAGGTAGGAAGTGCCAGGGAATGCTCCTGGTATTGCGGGTTAGCAGCAAGGAGCTGGGCTTCAGAACCAGCTACTTGGCTATTCCAGTGTGACGTTATGGACCGAGCATTGGGTACCCAGGGCTGGCCCAAATCTGCCAAGATGAGGTCTTGGATTTGGTGCTGTTACACTAAGTTTTCTCTAATTCCTCACGTATTTCAGGCATCATTTGCTGTATTTAAACTCTCAAACTTTGAAGCTGAATTTCATCCCTCTGGGGTCATACCATACTCGTTACTCCATCAGTTTGGTGACTTGAATATTTCCAGTTTAATTTTAAATATAAAAAGATATTCCTGTCTTGGTTTCTATTAATTGAAAGACTACTTCAGCACTTTCTGTGGGAAGGATGTTGTTAGCCTGATGTAAAGAAGATGTTGATTAGCTTTTGAAGTACCTAAATGGGGCTTGTTATTGATCTTAAATACATCTGGTCCACTGTAACAGATTGTTAGTGTGAAAACACTTTCTTACAGTAATATCTAGGAGGAGAAACAGTATAAACTGTGAATCTGGAAGATATTTGGCATGGATATTAGGCTCTGTGTTGTTTTGAGAGCTGTGCTCTGTATTTATGTTAAATATTCGCTGTTTGTATTCCTCCTCTGGAGGACCTATCTGGATAGGTCCTTTTTGCATTGTAGATGGCAAACTGGGACCAAGACCCTTCAGTGCTTACTGGTCTTCATCAGGCTTTAAAAAAGTTAAAGAGTATTAGTTCTGGTAACTGAGAAATCCTTAAATGAGCTTTTTTTTTCCATGTTTTTGAAGATAACAGAGCTGCTTAACGACGTGGAGCGGTTGAAGCAAGCCCTGAACGGTTTGTCTCAGCTGACGTACACCACTGGGGCTCCCTCCAAGAGGCAGAACCTGCAGGTGGAGACGCTGCAGAACCAAGTGAAGATGCTGCAGCAGCAGCTGGCGGTGAGTAACCGTGCAGGGTTAATGCAGCCGCGTTGCTCACAGCTTCACGGGAGCGCTGTGGGCTTAGGCTGCAGCAGTAGAGTAGCCATGGGTTTTGTGAGTTTGGGGAGCTTCTCCAGGTGAGAGGGACACAAGCAATTTAGAGAGAACTTACACCGCTGTATTTCATGCCAAGACCATTTCTGTGTGCAAGTTCCACATCAATATTCTACTCGCAAAAACCACCAGCCGTATATTTTCTCCCTCTGGAAGACAGTGAGGTGGATTTTTCCTAATGGATTTGACTTGGTGTTCTCTGTTCTGCAAGCAGTGTGAGGTTTATTGCTCGTCTTTAGGTACCGACAGTAAAGGGGAACACTTCATGGGGAGTACGGTGCACAAACACATTTGTGGCCATGGGACTTCAATAAAGCTCCTCACTAAAGCTGTGTGTGAGAGGAAAGTTATTGGTGAATGTGTGCAGAAGTAGGACCCAGCTTTCATCATATTTGCAAGGGTGGCTCTTACAAGGCAGAGCGTTCTTCAATTGGGTGGGTTCAAACCAATAGCTAATGCTGCTGCTGAGACAAGGTTTTCATCTCAGCACCAGATCAGCCTGGCTCTGGTCACCCCTCAGCAAAGTTGCTTTGCTGCAAGCAAGCAATAAAAACAGTGAAGCAGCGACTTTTTCCTTGATTAACGGAGGGGATGTCACTGACTTTAACCTTGAAATTCTGCTTTGGCCAGTCTATAAGGGCAAAAACCCAAGCCCACAAAGCTGGGAATAGGCAAGAGTGGATGTTAAAAAGTTGATGACTTCACCTCCTCTTCCTGTCTCCTTTCTGCAGGATGCTAAAAGGCAGCATCAAGAGGTAGTTTCAGTTTATCGGACACACCTTCTTAGTGCTGTGCAGGTATGAGAGTCCCAAATCCACATTGTTTTATTCTGTCATCTCCATGTAGAGATTCTTGAGGCACCTTTGTAACTACCGTACTGGAAGAGCTCCAACTCTAAACTAGCACCAAGGACCTGTTTTCATGTTGGGAGTTTGAATTTAGAAAGAAGCAGATGGAGCACAGCTGTAGTCGTCTTACCACTGTTGGTCTGCATGTACCTGTGTATAACAGTAACCTGCCCTGAAGGGTGATGGTATCTGGTGATGTGAGCATGTTATTAATGCTGCATCATCTCAGGCAGCTCTGGAGAGAAATTGAGTAGAAGTTGGCAACTTAATGCAGACTTATCCAACGACTCTCACTGGACAAAGAGGTGGTCAAATAGTCAAGCCTTGTGACTGCAGGTACCTCAGTATTCAAAGAGGAGGGATCATTTCCACAGCTGTGGGTCCAGAGGATAGGAGCTGTAACTTTCTCCCACGTCGTATTTTCCTGAAGGAAACTGCTGTGTTGGAGAGGCAGTCTCTTATTTCTCTCATGAGGAAAAAAAACCCCAACACATCAGAATTCCTAAAGTATTTCAGATTTTCTCAGAGAGCGGTGAAAATACAGCAGTGAGTTAAGACTTTTGGGTAGTTGTGAAGAATCCCTAATGTTAGTGATGGATGGTTGTCACTTGCTGGGATTTTAAATGTTTCTTTTCACTGTTTGCTTGCTCTAGGGCCACATGGATGAAGATGTCCAGGCTGCTCTACTGCAGATCATTCGAATGAGACAGGGACTTGTTTGCTGACGTGCTTGGTGCCGTTGCTGTTGAAGGCTGCTGCTTGTAGGAGTGCTGTGATTGCAGTAGTGAGAACCTCCATGGGGTTTATATAATTACCAAGATTCAGCTGCAATTGGAACCTCCAGATACGAGACAACTTACAAAGCTGCAATGTTTTCTTCTTGTAAAACACTAAAATAGGGCTCCTGAGTTTCAGATCTGACACTTCTTGCAGTAAATCAATAAAAGGTGTAAAGCATCTTTGAAATTGGTACACAAGCTGACTGTCAAAATGATGACATGGTAGTTAAATTATTTTAATGTCTGATTGACCATTTCTTAAATACAAGGCCTATACCCAGAAGTTTATCCTATAATTGAACTCTCATGGTATGGTTAAAAATAAACTGTGTTCAAATGAGCTTGGCTAAGTATTGTAGCTGTATTTCTCCTTTAATGGTTAAGAGGAAGTGGCTGTTTTGTCACGTGGGCTGATCGAGACGTGCTCCACCATGCTCAGTAAATCAGCTGCAGAGGTACAGGAGAGGTGTTCAGGTGTACGTTGTGACTTGGCTGGCCAGGTTACAGACTTTATTTAAATATAAGCTTAAGATGTAGTGCCTTTGCTTTATGCAAGACTTAAAAATCAGGTTTTCCACCAAAAACCCAACTTCTACGTTTGCCTCCCCTTCCCCCAAGATCTTTCATGAGTGTTTTGTAACACCAATTGCTGTTGGGACCGGAGCGACGTGGTCTGTAGAGCAGCGTTTGGATCGAGATGCATCAGTCCTGCACTCTTCGTTAAGCTGAATAGGGGTGCAGACTCAATTAAGCTGTACACCACGTAGTTCAGGTGTTGGCTTTTCAAACACTATCTCATGGAAGTTTAAAGTATTTTCCTTTTTAGCTGTAAATTATGTTCTATTATGTCCGTATTTATGGGGAGAGATGCAAATAGTAAGGATTAATGGGACGAGAATTTTTATTTGCTTGGAATCTGCCTACTAAACAAGGCAGGGCTTTGTTTTAAACTGAAGGATGATGTTCCCAGAAGTAAGTTTTACCGAAGAAAACGTGAAATTTGGGACTGTTCAAAGGAAGCAATTGAAAAATGAGCCTGATAAGGTACGTGGCTGTTTGAATAGAGCACCCGGTGTAAGTGCTGTCAGTAGCTGTGTTGACTTCAGTCTGCCTGGTTAAAGCATTTGCTATAATGAGCAGTAGGAATCTGGCATCCTGCTGCAGGAAAGACAAACTACCACGTTCCCAAAAAATAGGGATTTGAGTCCTAGCACTGAGCTCTCTGCTTTGTGCTACCTGGGCCTCTGTACCCACAGGCTCAGCTCGCATTTTTTTAGTCTATTATGTTTGTTCCCTTTTTGTTTGTCCATTTTTGGGCAGTCTTCTTGTAGGACTGGGGAGAAATCTGCCACATAGAGGAGGATCCAGACATAGTGATGAATGTGCAGGGCAGTTTTTATGATATAAATACACTTAATATATTTACTAAATATGTGTCTGTAGTTGAACAGATCTACTGCTGCTTTCCTTTAATTTCTTAGAGGACTATTACAGATAACATCTCAGTATAAATATATATACATTACCTTTTAGCCAAAGTCTTTTACGATTGCATTACTTGAAACTCTTATTAGAGAGAAGAGGTTTTAATTTACTAACTGGCGTATTTTGATACTGTATGGTTCCTTACCGAGGGAGTTCTATGTATGTTTTTCTAAATCTCTCCCATACTACCTTACCAATAAAATGTTTTCTTCTTTTTTGTATTGTGGTGGTCACTTCTGTAAAAGGTGGAGAAATGCAAATAGTTTGGCAGAGTAATCTGGGTGGTGAAGGATATTGGATTTGCTTGAATACCGTGTAACAGGCTTGGTTTTCAGACATCTGCTGGGAATGTTTGATTTATTGGGGCTCTCTGATTTCACCTTTAGCTTAATTTAAGTTCTGGGTTATCTGATCCAGCCGGTGGGACATGGAGGTGAGCAAGGTTAAGTTGTTAATGTGCAGACTGTGTAAGTGAAACTTCACTGTGTTGAAACAACTGCAGCGGTGGCTTCTTCCTCGGATCTCTGGAGGAGTCACTGTTGTTCAGAGTTGGTAAGTGAAAGCTCTCTTTAGGGTTCCTGTAAATCGAATTTGACCTTGGAAACCAAAAGTATGGGGGTATATGTGCATGTGAGTTGTTTTCTGAAGAGGAACTTGCCCTTGGGTACAACTGCTTCAAGATTTGGGGTGTCCAAGCCTTCCCTCTGCCCGTAGATGAGTTCTGTCACCTTACAGCCCTGCAGATCAACTGACTCCCTCAAGTGCTGTTCACTGATAATTTTCGGATAGCTTTCCCTGTTCTCACATGTGCTCAATGGGGAACTTCATCTCCAACCGTGCAGCTTCTGCAGAGTGAGGCTGATTATTGAAAAGCTTTTTCACTTATATTCACATCCTTTTTTATTTTTAGTAGAAGGTAATTTCCTTCTGCCAGAGTGTTTAACTTTGTCCATTCTTGTTTTTAGGGGTCAGAAGTTCCCATGCCACGTAAGCAGCAGCTGGAAGCATCTTTGGAAGCGAGCTGTTATTCCTCCCCTTGACCCGTACCTGGAAGTGCTGCGGTTGTGCCCTTCAGCTTCTCGTGTGTGGAGCCGCGGCTGCAGAGGTAGCAGCAGATCCCAGGTTTCTCGTTACCTTAAATGACTTCAGCATCACTTGTGCAACTCCAGCCCAGTGTCACATTGCTTGGAGCATGAGCACGGTTACTGGCTTCACCCATTGCAGTACATAACTTATTTTAAAAGTAATAATCAAAATTATTTTTCTTATGGGAATTGGTAGCTGGGCTTGGGAATTTGGGTGTGTGTGTGGGGTTTTAAGTGTTTCCTTAATACTCCCTGTATTTCCTGTTAAAATGATACTAAATAAGAGACAACTGAGGAGCTGCTTCTTGTTGGGGGACAGAGGGAAGAGCCCAAAGCCCAGTTGCACATCTTCTGTAGGAACATTTTGGAAAGCGGCCTCTCTTGGAGCCACGGAGCTTTCTGCATTGGAGTTTTAATTGCAGTGGCTTTTGTATAACCCTCTTCTTCACAGCAGGGTTGTCCTGGGGAAGAAAGTCCTACTTTAGAAATAAAGGCAAGATAAAGAATGGCCTAGAAAGGAGGAACTGAATCTGAATTTCCTTGGGAATGCCATAATTCACTATTTCATGTAATACGTGGTAGCTCAGACTCTTTTGTCACCTTGGTGCTGGTGACACTATAAAATCACAGCATGCAAGAAAGCAAGCTTAATGTTTTGAGTTTGAATAGGTGTGGGTTGTTTAAACACTGCGCAGAGGGGATGTCTCCAGGCTCAGAAGGATTGAATGAGTCCCTTTGCAATGCCATTACTGAAATTTGGGGATTTTTTGGGTTTAACTGACTCGTGAAGGTGAAGGTAAGAGCTGGGCTGTGTCCATGTCTCGGTGAGGTTCCTGTGACACTGATGGTCCATGTGTTTGGTACAGTCGAGCATGAGCTGTGGAGGAACCTTTGGCTATTCACAGACAAACATTGCTGATAAATGAAAGGGAGGTCAGGAAAACGTCACATGTAAATGAAATGCATCCGAGAGGTTTTGGAGGGGCTCACAAGGTGCTCCCTGAAACAGTAAAGCGACTTCTGTAAGGTAAAGGCAGCTTATAATTGGTTTTTGGCACAACGTTCCTGCTGCGTCACCGCACTCCTTACAGTGAATATCCAACGTCTCTTTGGTTTTGAGCAGCTGGCTTGGAAACAGCTCTGAATCCTGCAAAGTTTATAGAGATGGCCGCTTCTTAAAAATCCAGCGCCGGTATTGCTCTGCCAACTCAGAAAATGAACTTTTAATAGAAAAAACATACCCATCGTTCAGTCGCAGCCATTAGATCGGATGGGTTTTACATTAAGTGAAAGAGATGTTGAGCGTTTAAGGGCCATTAAATTGTGAGGCTCTTTATTGCTGCGCTCGGAGCCTTCACGCCAGCGCTCCGCTGCCAGGTATATTTATTTCTACATCTGCAGAGTACGGTAGATGATGGGAAGGGAATTCATTTTTAAAGGAAAATAGGACGTGAAAACGCGATGGTTTTCCACTTTGTGAGCAGCCAGTTTTATTTCATAATAATTAGTTTTACACTTCATTAACTATCAGGTTTTCGCTTGTATGCTTTTAGAGCACAGTGGAGAAGACTTTGAAAATTCTCAGCAGGGCATCAACGTAGAGATTTAGAATCTGATGGGGATATCCAACTTAAGAGGAGCCTTTAAGATTCTAAATATCTTGAGGATCAGGAGTAAGTGTAAGAGTTATTTAAATTATTAAAGCCCCTTCTCGTGGTGTCTTGTCTCGCCATGCAACTTGCTGGAGTTTAGGTCTTGTAAGACATGGACAGACTTACAAATGATGAGTATAGACTGAGTAAGGCACGACTTGGACTGCTTGTCTTTAATAGCAAATGGCTTGATGGGTGGGAACCCTTGTGCCTTTGGGTTAAAGGAAAGAAAAACTGTCTGTAAACATCTTTGCTATGAAAAAGGGTGATTTTCTGTCCGTGCAGATGTATTCCAGTTGCAAATTACCCTGAAAAGTAGCGAAGGATTAGGGGGAAAGTAGCGGTGCCCCTTGTGCCTTTGGGTTAAAGGAAAGAAAAACTGTCTGTAAACATCTTTGCTATGAAAAAGGGTGATTTTTCCGACCGTGCAGATGCATTCCAGTTGCAAATTACCCTGAAAAGTAGCAAAGGATTAGGGGGAAAGAAGCGGTGCCAGTTGTGGGGTACCAGAATAAAACCCCTTTGAGGTGATGAAAAGGGCTTGAGCTTCAGGGAACCAACCAAAGCTGGGGGTTTTTGTGTGTGTAGGAGGCCAAGGACTTTCAAGGAGCACTTGCAAGCAAGAGTAATGGGCAGGTTTTTAAAAGAAATGGGTTGAGAAACGCCCATTAAGTATTTATGGGCCTGCCTCGCAATTCTGAGGCTGGAGTGTGCTCTGTTACGGGGATGCTCTGGGAACGGCAGGGTGGTGGTGAACCGTGATATTAAAGCTGCCCGTGCATGGCCTAAAATCAGAGCCAGCATCGAC